AATAAAGACAAAGGAAAATTAATCTTAGCTGACGCATTTCGTCCTTTGAGTGAATTTATCAAACCAAATATACTTTGCCTTGATAAAGTCCCTCAAAGCACGAAGTTTTCCTTCTGTCTTTATACACACACACACACACACACCTATATATATGTCTTGAATAGTGTATATTTAGGCAGCAAGTTTTCTTTTATGCTGGTATTACAGAATCTAACTGACAATGAATGACGCTTGCATGATTTTAATCAATTTTTCTTGCTTTCGAACCAAATGCTTTACATTAGATATAAATCCATGAATGAACAATTCATAAATGAATTAAGAAGAAATGTATATCCTACTACTTTCGACCATTCTATCGGTCATCATCAAATGGTAATGGTAATTGTAATATTAGCCGTTTCTGTACAAGGAATCATTTGACATTGATTGATAGAGAAGCTTGTACTGCTTTCAGTTGAAATTTATAAAATATTTCTCTTAAAACTTTCAGGAAAATTGTTTTCTCAAGTTCACTCTTATTGCTATTTCCAGTATTGATGGAAATTTCCTTTCTAACTTTTTATTTGAAGTAGTGTGGAATGTCAACATCTTGATTATGCCTTTATTTTCTCTTCGAGTTACATGTTCTATCCATTTTAGTTGTTGCCTTTGCTGATATTTCTCAAGTGGTATAGGTTCTGTTATTTAGCAAAGTTCTTTGTGATTCAATTTATAATGTTCAAATAATCATGATCTTTCCCAAGACCCTCAAGCTTCACACGTTCAAAGCCATTTTTAACCATTGATCTTAGAAAGTGGTTTGCATGCAGCTGACGATTTAGATATTTCTGAACGGATCTGGCGCCATGCATGGAATCCACATAAAAGTCTCAGTCTGGCGAGGCTATTTAAGAATATGATAGGAAGCATAGAAAGATGTAAACTAATGGTTTTTGCTTAAGTCTTTTCAGATCTTAAATTGCGGTCTGTCGTTAATGTAATATAGCGTGACGTGATTGACTTGCAGTTAAGACTATAAATATACTAACTACAATAACATGTTTTTCAATTTACTCAAGGTAAACATAGACAGATTGCAGCAAACGAGAATATATGCAGATCAATGCATGCACAAAAAGGGAGTACATCAACAGAACTCAAAACCAATATTAATACATTATAGATTCTCATTAGACGCTAACAAGGCTTTATTCTCGCATGCATACGATCGTACAGATAAAGAGTAAAAATCGTAATACTATAAGAACTGTGGGTGGGTTAAATGAACGAGTCAGATGTCGTCCCATCTTATCCTATACATGTTCAATGTGGGACAAATCTACCAATCGTACTAGCTAGTGAAGCTGTCGAAAAACCCCACAAAGAAAAGTTGAGTAGCACGTACATCATTTAGGCACAGTATATATTGCAGTGATGGCAACAAAACGAGTTGTACGATGTTCTGAACGTGCATGGTAGGTTTCAATGTTCCCACCACAAATACCGAAGATGATGAAGCATTTTAACGTATGGCACCCCCACAACATGATGCCAGGTGTTGGGCCTGTGACATTCTGGGAGATGTCGCTGTTCAACGTCCAATATTTGCATGAAAGATGAACCTGTTACAAAGTGACATTAGATCCCCCAAGTTACCCTCTTTCAAGACTACTGGAGATCTGTTCGATAGTATTTGGGCGTTAAGTGGGTTTCCCAAATGTTAACACTCTTGGTGCCATAATTGCTCTGATCTATGTTGTGAACATTGTGCAGTCTATCAATGTTGATTTTAAAATAAGTTTTCTCTACTACATAGCCGTCCATAACCTGGTCTAATGGTGATGGAACTTTCATTTCATTATTGTTGACAACAGAGGATCAGCACCAAACCTTTGAAGCCCAGCAAGCGCAGAAATTCTATGAAATGATTGTCCAGCCTGTCTAAGGCCCGTAGCCCGTTCTTACTCTCAAACGGATCTCATGGAACAAAAGAAGCACATGTGTGTCTCGGTGGCATAACAATCTGCTTGCATTTGACTGTTTCCCTACAATCAACATTATCAAAACATGCTGTTTAAATCTTAGACAGAAAGTGCACAGATATAGGTTGTATTGCATTACAAGATGGCCGAAAATTTTATTATATAGTGCACCATTACTCAGTTATTATATATATATATATATATATATATATATATATATATATATATATATATAAATCGAGAAGTATATACTGAAGTTAACATCAATCAGCTAAGTGACAAACCTTTTATTTGTATTAATTATATATATATATATATATATATATATATATATATATAGAGAGAGAGAGAGAGAGAGAGACAGCGACGAGAGAGATAGTGAATAAAAATAAAATTGCAACACTTTGAAATACAATGACGATTTTAAACTAGATAGAGTATGTGCATGCAATGGGATATTAAATATAATTAAACATTTGGTAATCGTGTGTGTGATGAGAGTGAGTACACGGTTGAATAACTGTTACTCATTTACTGAAGATTCTGAGAATATTGTAATGTGCCAGCCTTTCAACTGCGGAGTGCGTGTTATTTGAAATGTTGACTTTCAGTTGGGCTGGAAACCCTACTATTCTCAACAATCTCATCTACAAGGTATGCTTGCAAATGATTCATTTTTAACGCATACAGACAAATCTTATTTTAAAAAATATAACAGCTGTTACACAATATATTTTATGCCCGTTTTGTATTTGTTAATGTATTCTTGCAATCTATTGATCTTTATCTATCTATCTATCTATCTATCTATCTATCTATCTATCTATCTTGTTTAATCTTTGCTTAATTATAATTTATGAAATCTTTACCTATGCCTGTCTGTAAAAAAAAAGACAAGTAGCGAATAACCAAAATGTTAAATTTCCATATCATGAAGATGCACTTTCTATATATTTTTTCATTTAAATGGAAGACGAGTTTTCTGGCCAACTTTATGACACAAAAAGTTGCATATTTCCTTTAACCAACAATATTCAATGTCAAAGACCAGGTAGAAATCTCGGATCTTACGTTTGATTTTCTAGTAGATAGACGACCCTTGTCTTGAAGACGGGCTAAACACAATCTCTCTTATCTCTATTTAAGTAAATATGCATACATTTTTTAATCGGATTTAGCACAAGCTAGACAGTAAAGCTACTAGGACATAAGGGGTTACTGAGTATGGAAGAATTAGAAAGCGTGAGCAATAGAAAAGTGATCCGCAAGACAGTAGATAACGATTGACATTTCATTTACATTTTTGAAGATTTTAATTAACTCGAAAGCATGGAGCTGGAAGTGAGTTCCATAAGCGAGAACTACGAGAGAAGAAACTCTTAGCATAGAACTTACGGTTACATTTAGTCAATTCAACTATAAATTGATGAGACCTTTTTGCCAATCTAGTTCTGCGCTTACATTCATAAAGTGTTGGTACCATAGCGGAAAATTTAAGGTAGAGGGTTACCTTTAAAATGGTTATGATGAACAAGAGGTGTGATATGAAGGAAAAAGGTAACAGGAAGCGAAGATTATGAGGATGAGGAGGATTGTTCCTTGGTTTAAAGAAGTTAGTAACTAAAGGAATAATAATAGTAATAATAAAATCAAATAATTAAATAGCAAATAATCGCAGTGTTAATGAACAATCTGGTTGATTGTGTGTATTGTGCTCATTTGAAATAGTTATTTATAGACATCAAAAGGCGTCGTCATGTTTGGAGTACTTCTTGCTTATATTAAAGTTATTGAGGCACGGTAGAGTAATGGATAGCGGCTTGGATGGGGAATCGGAGAGCCGAGTTCGAACTCCAGTCGAATCCATTGCATTCACTTACGAAAGGTGTGAATCCTCTTCTTCTCCCTCCAGCTATGGGTAAATAGCAGGACAGACTGGGTTCTATAGCCTTGGATGACAACTGGTCTAGGAGAAGAACAACTCTGAATTCAAACCTGAGTGGAGCCCCTAAAGCGGATGGACGGCACTTTGTGCTACCTTCCGGCAACCCCTGCAGCCGCGTTGGTACCAGACTGTATTGGTTTATCCTCTCCTTTGGACTCTGCTAGCAAGGCCGAGAGGGGGAACTAGCCCTAGTTCTCCGTATATCCCGCCCAGGCTCGTAGCGCACCGCGCTACTCCATCATCTCTCGAGATGGACGGATGCCGACGACGACGAATTTCAAAAACGATGATGACTCCACTGCCACATGCTCTTTATTTTACGCGCAGAGGTTAAAATAATAATAATAATAATAATAAAATAAAATAAAAAAAAAAAAAAAAAATCAGAGAAGATGTTGATAATCCTGTTTCTGCTAAAATTTCACAATCGGTTGAAAATGATAAGGCTCTATGAATATGTCGAGCAGTTTATGATCTATGGACGCTGTGAAATGCTCGATCGGAATTTTGCCTGCATGAAGAGAGGAAACTGTACAAGACCATCCCAAATGAAATTCGTGACGAAACAACAACTGATATCATTGGGCACCCAACTTACTTTCAGAAATGTGATCGTTTTAATGTAAAGGTTAGATGCTTCGAAGCAGATAACATATTTATTGTACCATTCATCAAATACTTGTTGAAAGTTCGTCAAGAACCACGATTTTCTCATGGACAATTGCATGTAGCTCTTTCTAGAACATGCCAACTTGTAATGATTAAAATAATAAATAATGACTCTTAAGGGCGAAGACGTGCCAAGTGTATAACAAAGAATATAGTTTTCAAAGATATTCTCTTATAAGAATACTATTATTTCATTATTTTCTATACACTTCTAACAATCTTTTTGAAACTAACCGCTGATATGACGAATATATATTATAAAAAAAACTTATGAGTATCTACTTTAAAGTGATGGTTAAGAAGCACAACCTTTAGGCCAATTTGCAAAATATAGTAACTACTAACCTCACTGGGACTCCTGTACTGTAGCCATGTGCCAAACATACTCGTATCTGAGTATGCCTGTCTTCTAGGATAGCTTAGGTCATATCACGTTAAAAAACCGGTTCCCATATGATCACCGAAGGTAAGCAACGTCGAGTTTGGTCAGTACCTAGATGATTGACCGATTGGGAATATCAGGTGCTGTAAGCTTTGATGGGTGGGTGGTGTAATGGATAATCGCTCGGAATTGTTAATCGGAGAGCCGAGTTCTAATTCCAGTTGGGTTCGTTATATTCACTTACTCGCAAATACTCTTGGAAAAGGTATGATTCCACTCCTTCTCCCAGAGTTATGGTTGAATTAGTAAGAATTGTATCACTAAATCATTAGTATCTAAAAAAAAACTTCTTACAATCTAAAAATATTTTTAGCTTTAAATAACATTCAAAGGGTTAACAAGCCGTAGAAAACAAATCAATCAATCATCAATATGCTAGGCTGGATAGCTAATCCCAGTTACAGTCAACTGCTCAGGCATATTTGTGTTTGTTTATCACTTATAGAGACAATCTGTGGTTTATACAGAAACTATAATGAGCGAATTTTAGTTTCTGGGATAGAGTACATAATTTGGCGTGACCAATAGTTTGAACAAGACCAGTTCATTCAAAGCCTCTGTCACGATGACTTGTAACTTCGTGTTAGCATAACTATCACCGGCTTCCGAACAGTTTCGTCTACCCAATTTCACTCATGAAATTTGAGTCAACACCGTGGTGTAAATTTCAGGCATTTACCAATGTTTACCGAGATCGTCTCCCCAGGTTGATATATTATTGTGGGTGTGTCACTGAGTAGATAGAACTTTAACATTCCGACCATACGATTTGGGTTCGAATCTCATTATGGTCGGTTAGTTGAGGGCGATGAATTCTTGATAATGTCAGCCTTGAGTATCCCAGCGAATAAGTTTGAGGAAATGAAAGTGTGGGTAATCAAGGTAGGAATTGGGTAAGAGTGGCGAACACACACACACATGCGCACACAAGCAATATATTATAAAAATCTATATAATCTCTCTATATAATACGCCACATATATATTTACTTTTTTTAAGTGTGTGTAACAATTGAGAGGCAATGTGCAAGATAACGATGACACACCCAATGCCGTGCAAACTTGGTTCCGTTGATGCGTACTGATATCGCCATCGGATAGGGTGCGTATATACAATACGCCACACATATCTTCAAGAATGCGTTGTTCATTTCTAGAAATTCATTTTAAACTTTAAAAATTATAATTAAAAAAAGGGGGAATAATTCTTGTAATAATTCACTAATCATTGAAAGAGTTTTTTTTATTCACACTATATCCTTCATTTATATTATTTATGATTGCAATTAAAAGCTTATACAATTAAATAATTAGATAGTTTTAATGCAGTTTTTATGTTACGATTCGGAGCATATCTTGCGGAAATTGGTAATAGCGAAAAAAAAAAAATATATATATATATATATATATATATATATATATATATATATATATATATATATATATATATGATGATACGTTGCTCTTAGTAGGACGAGAAATAAGCAGACTCTGAAATTACAGACTGAATCTACGGAATGTCAAGGATTATTCAGACCATTTAAAGTTTGCACAAAATATTGTGCTCTGGGAACTTTTGCAGTAAACAAAATTTTGTTTGTAAATATGTAACATTTATGAGGATAATATGCAGATATCTTTCCTTAGGTGTTTATAAATTGTACACTGTTCAATTATTAACGTTAACAACGAACTATTTTAAATTACAAAATTGTACTTAGATAAGAAGACAAATTACTTACATTATAATTCATATTACTTATAATAAATTCTTTCTTGTCGTCATTTTAGACGGCACGGGTTCAATAATAATAATAACAATAATAATAGTAGTAGTAGTATTCTATAGTAACGCGATGAGAAAGAAACTCTGAAACTAGATTGCAAATGCAGTAATTTCGACCTGACTAATGCGACAATGTACCATACGAATTTAAGCTTAGTAAATAGTATTTCGAGTGCCTAGTATAGCGCTAAAAGAGAAATTTCTTCACATATTAAGTGGAGATTTGAAGCAACAGAAATGTGGTTCTACAGAAAGGTGCTGAGAATATCATGCTATGTAATATCAGTCTTCCTCTATGGCAGTGAATTCTGGACAATTTACTCACAGGCGAAGAAAGTAACAGAAATGTGATTCTACCGAAGGATGCTGAGGATATCACGGATTGAACATATGAGCAACGAAGAAGTTTTAAGGAAAATGGAAACAAAACAAAAAAAAAAAAAACAAAAAAAAAACAAAAAAAAAAAGCACATACTTAGAATCAGTTAAAATTTCTAGGACACAAAATTAGGAATGAAAGCTTAGAAAATTTAACAGTCACAGGAAAACTGAAGACAAGAGAGACTGAGGGAAGCAGTGAGGGACTTACCTCACGGGCTTGTGTAAATAGATGACAAAATAGGGGGTTGAGGAATAATAAAAATACAAATATTACTAAGAGTTACAAAGGATAGGTCATTGTGGTGAGCCATGATTGCCCAAGTATTGAATGGACACTGTACATAGAAGAAGAAGAAGAAGAAGAAGAAGAAGAAGAAGAAACAGTTTGATGTCGAGTAATTTTAGTAGACATAATACAGCGAGTTATAGGGACACTAAATCAATGTGGAAAGTGCCGTGAAATTGTGAAAGATGCTTTCCGAAATCTAAACATTATATTAAGAAGGAAAATTTCGTTAGAGTCAAAGAAAGGAGTGTTGAACTGTTATGTAATACTATTCCTTCTATAAGGTAATGAATTCTGGGCAAGAATTGACATGTGGTTCTACAGAAGGATGCTGAGAAGACTATGAACTGAATATATGGGTAGTGAGGAAATTTGAAGGATAAGGGAACAAAAGGGATGCATATACTTAGAATCAGAAATAAACAGTTGAAATTTCTAGGACATATAATGAGGAAAGATAACTTGGAGAATTTGACATTCACAGGACATATTGCGGGCAAGAGGGAAACAGCGAGTAACCTACATAAAAACTTGAATAACTAGATGGCAAAACAGGGACTGGGTGGGATGGTGAAAAGACAAACCTTACTAAAAGCTGCAAACTATAGGAAATTGTGGAGAGCCATAATTGTCGATGTCCTGAAGCAACATGGCATATAGAAGAAGAATTATCTTCTTAGTCTAGTTTTCCTCTGATTAAATGCTCTTTAAATGTATGGTAACCAGCAAAAAGAACAGTCCAAGATGTGAACTACGAATTGGTGTTTGAATCCAAAGGCGCATTGGTATAGTGAAAGATGCCTTCCAAAAGCCAAGTAAAGTATTAAGAAACGAGAAAATCTTGTTAGAAACAAAGAAACGCATTCCGAACTGTTATATAATATTCGTCCTCCTATATGGCAGTGAATGCTGGACAGTCTCCTCACAGATGAAAAAACTTGAAGCAAAAGAAATGTGGTTCTACAGAAGGATGCTGAGAATACCATGGATCGAGCATGTGAGTAACAACAAAGTTTTATGGGAAATAAAAACAAAAAAATCACTTAAAAACAGAAATAAACAGTTTGTAGGACACATAATGAGGAAAGATGGCTTGGAAATTTGACATTCACAGGACATATTGCGGGCAAGAGGTAAACAGCGAGTAACCTACATAACAAATTTGAATAACTAGATGGCAAAACAGGGACTGGTTGGAGTGGTGAAAAGACAAACCTTACTAAGAGCTACAAAGAATCGGAAGTTGCGGAGAGCCATGATCGCTCACGTCTTGAAACAACACAATACATAGAAGAAAAAGTACGTCGCGAGTTCAGTATTCGGTGGGCGCTTTACAAATTTAACTTTGCGCAATAGTCAACCATTGTTGGTTTTTCGGTATCTAACAAAATTTAGTTAATTCTCTTTGCAGAGCAATTTCAAAGTTGTAGTGAGTTCAATCAGTACTCAAAGGAAGGCAGTGGGTCACCTACCTGACAGGATTGCGTGAATGAGGTGTCGTGGGTGGTGGGGTCAGGTTTCGAAAAAAATCTTTGCGAAGCGATAAGAGGTTGTGGAGATCTTTGACTGCCTACGGCACATAGGAGAAGAAAAGGCGATCCTTAGTAAATAGCTAAGTGTTTTTTTCTGAAATAAATTTTCTAAGATAGCGACTTCGATCTTCATTAGGTAATCTAAAAATGTGGCCTTACCCCAAATCAAAGCTATTCTTCTGAAATAACACTTTGAACTCCTACCTGGAGCGATAGTTAAAAATATCTTTCTGAAGATCAGTTCCTTAGTGCAGTGGTGATTTTCTAAGTGTAGCTTAGATGTGGCATAAGGCCGAACTTACTATTCAGTTGTAATTGTTCTAGCGAGACAAGCTTGTTAACCATTACACCACGTCGAGGTGTCGCAGTTCTTTAGTGTAGTGGATCAATTCACGTAGATGTCTCCTTACCTTGGCTTTATGCTATATGAAAATATACTTATTATATAATTCGATGAACGACTGCTGTAACACAATATGTAGCATACGCTTTCTTCAGATCACTTCTCACGTTGGCCTTATGCCATATAATCTTACGCCTAATATATAACTATGAGTTCCTACCGTAGTGCGATAGGTAGTATCCGCTTTCTTCAGGTCAATTCTCTAGTGTGTTGGGTTCAGTCTTCATAGGTTTCCTCATGCAGTGTTCTTGAGTCATACAGACTTGTGCTTAGTAAATTATACTTTTGTCCCATTGTATATATCCCGATGAGCAATATATAACAAATCTAGTGATTTCGTTACGCACTGGGTGCCCTATTACTGTAACCTTGTGCAGGACTAATCAAAGGTTAGTAATAACTAATAAGTACAATAACGAGAAGAACAAATCCAGAAATAAAAAAACACACATACGCAAGAAAACAGTTATAAAAATAGAAATAAAAATGCACATCTACCGTAATGCACAGCTCATTGAATATTTACGGTCCATATTATATATCTCCATTTTGTTTTTTATGTAAATAAATGTGCGTTCTTTTTAGGTACTTGACGAATCGTAAAATCTTAGCCGTGTTTTCTCATATTGCCAACACCCGGATATTGTGGCCATTTGAAAAACACATTTAGGATACATCAGTATATAAAAAAACAAAAACAAAA